CAGTCTTGTATACCGCTGCATCTTCATCGGCATCATCATCACCGGACATGAAGATTTCTTGGCCGCCGACTTCAGGTGTTTCCTCCTCCTCCTCCTTCTTCTTTTTCTCTACAGTCTTGGCTTTTCCTTTTCCTTTACTTTTTACATCCTCGCCGTTCTGATCTTCAGCTTCTTCCTCGGGATCCTCTTCCTCATCTTCGCCCCAGCCAGATGTAGGTGTGAATCCGAGGTTAATCTCTACGCGCGCCTTGCCCTCGTGGCCAGTCGCGAGAGTATAGTCGAGACCGCGGCGGAAACGACGCGCGAGGAGATCGGCACTCTCGATGGTGGTTTTGGTGGCCATCTGGAGCCATTGGCGGAATTGACGGCTGGGCAGGAAGATGTCGAGAAGTTCAGTGATGGGAGATTCCTCTTGTGAGGTGCGAAGCTGATCAGGTCCACTGGGTTGTTGGTAGAGATATCGCGCCTTGTGAGGGGGCTTGGCTACACGCCATGAAGTCGTCTTTTCTATCGTAGTAGTATCTTCTTGTGCGGGTTTCTTCTCCTCAGCCTCAACGTAGTCCCTTAGGCGCTGGGCAAACTTCTTGCCCAGAATATCTGGCAAGGTGATTTCAAACATCTCGTTGAAGGTCTCGGAGATCTCCTCCAAGGCATCAGGAACCAGATATGCAGGCGAGATGTACTTGAGCAGAAACTCAAGATCAGCTTCGTCGAAACCATCCTGGCTGGCCTTATCAACCTTCATAACCTGAGGCTGAGGCATATCGTACTGAGCAGGATTGCCCTGAAGTTGCATCAAGCCGCTGTTCTTGGCGTTTCTCTCCTCTTCTCCCTTGATGTAGCCGTCCTCTCCAATCTGGGGAATGTGGAACCATCCACTGATAGCCATACGAATGCGACCACCGTCCCTCTCTAGCTGCTCCTTGGTTTCGGCGCGATAGACCTCCTCGACGTCGTGGAAACTCTCTCCAGGCTGGACAGCGAAGAAGCTCAGCTGGTTCCACGCAGGCGGAATGACCTTTGTAACGTCAGGAAGCGGTGTCTTCGCGATCTCGCCGTCCTTGTCCTTGAGCTCCTGCACGGGGAACAGACGGAGCGCGCCACCCCATTCGGGCTTCCAGGGCGTGTCGGGGTCGACGAGGTAGAGGATATAACTAACGCGCCGGCTACCAATGACGTCGTCATGGCAAAGGAGGTAGCAGCCAGGCGTATAGATGTTGATAGCCATGTCAGTCTTGCGACCGCTCAACGGGCCGCAATTGGTAATGTGAGAGACATAGTTGCGGAAGGCTTCGGAGTATATAGCATCGCGCAGCTTGAGCAGCGAAGGGAGCTTAGCTAGAGACTCGTCGTCTAGACCATCGAGGTTGGCCAGGTCGCCTGACTGGTGGATCTTGTAGATATCGGTCTCCTTGGGGGTGAACTCGACGTTGGCCTTGATCTCGCTGCGAACCGATCGAAGAAGGGAATCGTCAACAAGGCCGTTGATGACGGCATGCTTATAAGGTTCTGACTGGGCATATTGATCTGTATAGGAACCGAGGACCTTCTTGTCGAAAAGACCAGCACGAAACCGCTTCTGAGCTTCGTCCGAGGTCAAAGCTGGAAAAGTCTGGTGAGTGGAAGGTTGCGAAAGTACGATTGGGAGTGCTTACAAGGCTTGGACTTTTTCTTGTTGGCCTTGGAGGATCCAACAGCTGCTTCCGCTTTTCTCTTCATGATGGCCAGCGCAATTGGTTTGATTTCCAGAAGCTGTGCGAGGTGGTAGGGCTTCTGTCGTAGATAAATTGAGGACGCGAGGTAACAAAAGTTGTGCGAAGTCGCCGCGCAAAGAATGGGCTGACGTCGCCAATCTTTAAAATTTTGGCTCCTAAAATCGACCCATTTCAGGAAGCGTATATGAGCCTGTTAACGCTCGATACCGCAGGACAGAGAATTTAAGGGCAACAAGGCACAAAATGTATTTAATATCAATTATATATACTCCAGGTAGGTACTCTCAGTGTCTCGGTTTCTGTCAGTCGGATCTAAAATTATCTTTCATATTGCAATTGTAGTCAATCCTGCCGTTTATTGACCAGCTCTTCCTCATGAACCAGCCATGGGCGCTAAGGAGAGCAGCCATGATGATGGGCCGATGGTGGACCTTATCTGATCACTGGCTGGAGCCAGCATGATGCATAGAAATTATGCAGGGCTATGCATGTACATACGCGCCGGTTCAGCTGACAAGCACGGTATATTATTTCGCGATCCAAGGCATTGGCAAGAGTCGTATTCGTCAATGTCTGAACACCTCATAAGCCGTGGGTTGCACCATCACCTTGCCCAAGGATCCCATGACACATCCAGTATACCTTGTACCAAATCAGAGTATGCAAGGAAACTCGAGGGGCCTGTGGCAAGATATAGTACTAAATCCTTAAATCGTAGTGCTCTCAAATTATACCTAACGTCTCTACATAGGCTCGGGAGTTCCTCAAAATCACCATCATGGCCAGTCAAAGTAAAGAAGAAGGGCGGAGAAAGACACTGCAGCTAGTCAGGACTTCAACAATAAAGGGATATTATTCTAGAAGCTCCCTCGACTTTCACATGTTCTCTCATCTCTCGTCACATTATCACTAAACTCCTGTCTGTCAATTCGTGTACTTAGGCCAGATGGAATGATACAATTAGGTAGGCCCGGTTGTACGGACCGTATTGAAGCATTGGTTACCCATCTCGCACAGTAACGTACGGTTTTGGTGGGGTCATGCCAATGGAAGTTGACGTCCTTGAGGCTTGTAGGGGCCGGGGGTGATTAACAGTCATTGGAGGTTGTCAACAGAGAAGCCCGATTCAGATTGACGTGTGGGTTGCCTGTCTTGAGCTGTTGGTCTGCTCGATGTCAAGAGGTGCATCAAACAACCAATTGATCTCCAATTGTGGTGCTGGTGTAAGCGCTTTGTATAGACTCATAGAACGACGAACATGTGACGCCTAATATGGAACGAGAAGAAGGATGTTCCGGGTCAAGCACCAGGAATTATGGGGAGTATGGAATGTGTCTTGAGACAGAATATCAATTGATATAAATTTACAGACCATCACCACTAAGAGCGTCAGTCTTGTGGCGACCACATAGTAGTGTATGGCTTCAAACGCCATAAATTTGCATGCGTAGAACAGAAAATCACAACTTCTTTACTTGTTCCCAATTATATATCCCTCCTCTTGGTGATGAAACAACTTGAAACGAATTACACGGTACGACTATTGTCCCTTAGAGGGCAAACAGCATAGCCATGACAACACCCAAGACACCAGCGGCGCCCTCACGCGCAGCAGCATTGCCGCTATCGCCACCAGCGCTGCCAGACGCCGGCGTGGTCTGGCTGCTACCAGCACTGGACGTGGGAGTGGTGGCACCAGAGGCGCTGCCAGAGGCGGCGTTCTTGTCGCATGTAACCTCGTCGGGAAGATCGGTCACTCCGGCGGTCGAGCAGATCTGCTTGGCGTACTTGACGGCGGTTTCTTTGCCGGCGGCATCGCACTTATCCTCGAGACAACATGCGATGCCAGAGAGGAAGTCCTTGTTGCTGCAGATGCACTTGACGTCGAGCTGTCCGCATCCCGCGACGCCGCCACCGGTGGTGTACTTGCTAACACATGGTTGCTATATAGGCAGACAGAAGAGATTAGCACAGGTAGTCGAACTGCGAGCGGTAACATATCAAGTCTGGATATTCAGCTCATGAGGGAGGCTCTGCGACGTACAGCGCACGTTGGTAACTTCTCTTGCTGAGCGGCAACAAGGCCAGCCAGGAGGACGGATGTGAGCACTGACAGCTTCATGATGAATACTCGGACAGTAAAAGATGATGGAACTGAAATTGAAATTGAAATTGAAACTGAAACTGAATGAATGTCAAGAAGAGAGAGTTATGCGGTTTCACGTACGCGCGTCGTAGATTTAAGAAAGACTCCTTAGGTGAGACAAGACAGTTTTACCCAGCTATCACCAAAGGCAACAAGCTTACACAGGAGCTACGCCCATTATGTACTCTTGAGCACCCTGACCTAAGTTGTAACCATGCTAGCGGGCCTTCTCCTTCGTAATAAACGCTCACGGTCCCCAGAAGCGGCAAAATGTCTGAGCCGTATCCGTAATTCCCCCAACTCTAATGATTCATATGCAGATCACCAGCCAATCGCCACAGTTCCACGTGTTCCAGACCATTTCGGCAGATTGCACGCTTTGCTATCGCTATAGAACCGCCTGATGATCGGGTGAAACGGCCCCGTGGGGACGATGATCAATACCCAAACATCTGCAATAATTTCTTTGAGATCCAAAACTTGAACACGATGTATCGTTCTTGTTGTACTGTATGCTACATACACAACATGGGACATCTAGGCAATCAACAAGGGTAGCAAGGTAGCTTGGTTTCAGAAATCGTGTCTCAATACAAGCCACTTCATATCAATAGAACTTAGTCTCGTTCTGATCGTCCAGGCATTTTTAGAGCATGCCAACCTTGATGCCAGTTACACCGAAAGGAGAAATTCATCATCAGGTACCTGATGAATATCAAGGCTATGGAACACAAGAACGCCTCGATCCTCTGGGAATGGTTGCCAATCACTATTGATCCTTTAGCGTCTCAATTCATGCTTCTATCTTTGGGGTCCAGCCCAGTTATTCACAGCAAGTCTATCTCTGCTCAATAGACGCCTCCGCCAATAGTTCCTTTGCTAGCCACCGCCATCAGAACTGCTACCATGTCCTCTCTTACTAGCTGAGTTGTAAGATGCTCGGAAGGAACCTGGAGTGGCAGGTTGCATGCGTATTTTCATTTTGCATGGCTGTCATATTAACCTACCCACTTTCTGTGTGCTTTTGAAAGTATAATCCGGCTCCTGGGCGGTGCACCGCTCGTTGGGTCATCATCAAACCTTGTTTGATGAAGCCAACGTCATGAGTAACACGTTAGGCCTTGTCAATTTGGTCTTTCTCATACTCTTTTGCCCTGTTTGAGAAGATCCGAAACCTTAGGAGGAAGCACGAGAGCACTCCTGTCGTTTCTGCGAAAAAAGTCGACCAGCGAAACGGCTGTCTTCTCCGGCAAATCTTCGTGAATGAAGTGACCGGCCTCGGGGAACACTTGCAAGGCATATTTCCCTGTCGGTCAATCAGTACACAATGTTCAGAGAGCGGCATTCTAGTCAAACGGTCAACACACCCTGCATTTGACCGATGGTCAACTCGGTGTCCAGCCTGTCAGTACCAGCGAGCAGTAGGAGTTTTCCTCCCTTCGCCCCCAAGAACTTCTTGCTCAGCCCTATAAACCAACCTTCCCAGTAAGGCTGTGTTGCGCCCAAGTTGGTCCGCCATCGCCACGGCCTTGTCGGGTCGTCGTTCTCGTTGAAGACGAGTAGCGCAGGAACAGATGTCCGAGCGGAGATGGAGTTCCGTATCGTCCGAGACCGAATGTGCCATTCGATACCTGCTTGCAGAGTTGCGAAGCCCAGTGGTCTCGTAGACAAATAGGTGTGCATGCTTTGTAGAGCATCAATAGCGGAGCCTTCCACAACATCCAACACAGCGTACCCTAGAACTGACGTTCCTAGCCTACCGGACTTGGCCAGGTCAGTAACAACTGCTCCGCCTAAGGAGTGTCCCACGAGCACTATCGGGGGCATCTCTGGCCAGGCCATCTCATTCTTTGTGAGCTGCACCATGCTGAACAGATCCGAAGACAGAGTGTCCAATCTCATATCTAGTGCCTTGTCGCCTGGTGCGTTTGTGGACCCATGACCTCTACAGTCAATGGCCAGGATACCTGCTGTTGACAACCGCTTCTTTATTTCAGAAGCAACAACGGCGAACGACAACCCTGATGATCCAGCACCATGATGCATCACAAACAATGGCCCTTTCCCGACCGGTGAAGTGAGATAGGCATGATAGACTACTTCCGGTTCCTGCTCTGACTTCAGAGACAATTCGCGCTCAAAATAGGTTGTCCAGGGGATCTGCTCCAGGGTCCTGCCGCGGGCGACTCTGTAGCCTGTCAGTCCCGCCATGTTTCACTTGATCAAAGTGCTGATTGGAAAGTACCCTTGAGGTCGAGCGAACAGCTTCTGGTTGGGCGATGGTATGATGGTTCCTGTCGAGGAGACGGATGAGGCGGACGAGGCTGAGGAAGAGTCATCGTCGACAGGCTCCGGCAACTCGGGGAGTACATCATTCTCGTGCTCCTCGTCGACCTCGTCAAATGTATCGTTAGATATGCTGTACTTGGCCTTGGCCCATGCTCGCTGCAGGTCGCTCATGATAGATACGGTGTGAAGATGACGTAGGGTCCATCCGCACTGCCAATATGCGAAAACAGATGCGGACGGCACGAGACGAGCGCCTGGTGCTGACACTCGTGGTAGCCTCTAGCTTTCTACGAGCGACGTCGCTTCTGATCAGTACAGTATGGGAGCCGCAGTGGTGTCCTCTGATGTCTTTAGCAACTGGTGATGATGGTCGGGCGATACCCGAGTCAGCCAACCAGCACAATCCAAATCGACTTGCCTTTGCAAACACTGGGGCATAGTGTGTGTTTTTATGTGAACACTGTATCTGTACGGAATTCCACGGCAAATCTACAGTGCGGGTAACTTTCTTCATGTGGTTTCTGACCATAGGTTCTCTTATTTTCCTAATAAACCTCGTCATTAAGATGGCACATTATCTTGTAACAATACTATTTTCTTACTTACCTGAGAGCGGCTTCTTTGTGAGTGCAGACACGTCTTGTACTAAGGAAAGCCATTTCGACCGATCAGTACTTAGCTGAGTCTCGAACAACAAGTTGACTACATTTTATATGCGACCTCGACCATTCCTAGTATATCGCTAATTCGATGAAAACTGATCGAGGTGTCATCGTGAAAAGCCCCAAGCATCGATATTCCCACATCCCCATGTCCGATCAAGCCACTGTGAGTTGGCATAGCTATCTCATCGATAGGCTAAGCTTCTGGCCACACTGTTCTCTGATAGGGCTACAAAGTTCTGGCTCGGCGCCTCGCCTAGATCTTAGTCTCAACGCATCTTAACTATAGCATCGTGGCTTCTTCATTCTTTAGATCTTGAAGGGTCTGTCTGACACCCACTCGTGCAGTAGCTCACTTCTTCGACAGCCTGAGGGGCGATGGTTACTTGACCCTCGTGGGGAAGGAGATGGAAAGTGGAAAATCCCATCACGATCTCAATTCGTAGTATAACTAACTGCATAAGTACTTTCCATGGCTATTTGCCCGCCTCTTTATTTTTGACCTAATGAAGTGTTTTGGGGGATTTGTTGACAACCAAGAACAAGTATTTAAATAATTCGCCTACCCTGCAGTCGATATATGGACAACTTGGTTCACCTTGTTCACGAGACACTCGGCCGAGCAAGAAACATCGCCTGCCCGAACCCCTGTCGGCAAAAGAAACAGGAACCTTGTTCGACGCCGAATCAACCTGAACAGGGTTAGCAGCCCACCGTTCACCGTTCGAGTGCCTAATCTTGCTCAAGCGAATTCGCTGGCGCTCAGCTAGCGGCTCAAAGATTCCATGTTCCTGCATCCTGGTCCGATATTGCGGTGCTGGCCAAACGAGAACTCAATATGAAAACTACAGTACCCTCTAGCTAGCATCTGTTGACTCTCTAAAGAGGAATGGAGGACGAGTAGACTAGCTAAATAAAGTAGCCAAGTGGTGTCGAAGTGACAAATATTAAGGCCAAAGAAAGCACGCCACACAGTTGTCATTCGCATTTGTGATCGACATGACCACAAATCTCATTGGTTGCTGCGCGAGTGTTCGTCTGTCTTCGGATATCGCAACCTCGCTGATGTGACCGGGATCACATAGATCCTCGCAACTCTGTAGCAGCTGTTAGCGGCACAACCCAGGACGTTCACGTAGGAAATAGAATAATAGAATCTATGGCCTTTACAAGTTTTAGGGCATTACCTTGATCCGTACACCGATGGAGACGTACGAAGAGATGTCAGGAGAGGGGTGGTGCAGGAAATTCTGGTATGAAATCCCCACAAACTAAAGAGTTGCTTCCTTTGGAGCATTTCCTTGACGCTTGTCAAGCTGCTTAAATCTTTCGGAAAAGGTAAGATAAACCTGGACGAATTGAGTGAGCAATGCCATGGTATCCGCAACGTAGTGGGATGGCTGTGAATAAGAACCGCTACTGGCATGAACTCGTAAACTGTGCAATCCCAGGGCGACGAGTCTTGGCCCCATTTCTTTTTCTTTTCAAAAGTCTTCAACATGTAAATCCTTGACAATGCCACGAAAGACATGACCTCAGTGGCCCGTATATAGGAGACAAAATTTAGGAAGTTGGGATCCCCGACGGCATGGATTTCAGGTCACAGGTCTTCTCCTGGCAGACCATGATGGAACAAAGTGTCTCTCGGATATTTTTGTAATAGTTCCTAGGGCGAGATCTGAGACTTGAGAGAGCTATCTGACGGTGGCGCCGCCTCCAACAGCCTGGCGTAAGGATCTAGCGATCGTCCAACAAGATCGTTCGGGATGCCCGAGAGGCAGAATGCTTCAGTTGGTATTTCCCCGAACTCTCACCAACTTGACGGATTCAAATGGTGGGGGTGGCTTGTTGAAAGTGAGTGAGTATGCCCCGACAATATGGATAACCTTCAAGTTAGCGGCGTAACTATTAACAGCCTTGAGAGTCCGTGACGAACTAGCTCAGAGCCGCTGAAATCATCGCTAAGTTTTCGCATCTGGAAAATGTCTGAGAAGCTCCTGAAATCTATCCCTAGAACTGGGCATTGTGTAACACTTGCTGTTGGCATGGGGCACGGAAAATTGTTGGCCAATAAGTTATAACTATATCAGTCAGTTGCTGCAAGGGCTTGTGTTGTTATACAGGGGACTCGCAACCTAGTCTCATTCTGATAACGAATTTCTTTCCACGCTGGGTGCCTGTGTGGAGTGTTGAAGGATATCTGAATCAGATATTTGGAAATGAAACCACAGTTGATTTGTGACACGCTTGGTCGATGGACAGGTTTCCATTGGAGTTCTCCTTGGTTAGAATACTTGTTACCCTCCCAAGACGCTGGATCACGGCGCACGGGATCAAGCCACACTTCAAATTGAATTCCTGGAAGTTGGTAGGCTGGTCATCTGCGAGAATCCGTGGACAGAACCTCCCCCCACTAGATCGACATACAGCCAGACCCTGATGAATGTTGGGTCAATCCCCCCCGCTTCCAGCCTGCCTATTCAATGGCATGGGCGTAGTATGAATGATGTGATTGTGACGGGCGGCTTTGCTTTGTAAAGTTTGGTATTGCTCATATGTTGTAATATGTATAATGTAAGGCCATTATTGGCTATGGGCCAATAGGGGTACTCGGACCTGAGACGTACATAAATGGTCAGCATAGGAGCTACGATGATCCAGGTGATGGCCGCTTCACGTAAATTGCTCAATAAGAAAGACTTTGCTATCTAGCGCCAAATACTCGGAGCATTGGGCTTCTGGAGAAGGTGTCTCAGTTGCAAAGATGGAGAGAGGCAGAGGACATCTCTGACATATTTTACCCGCGTCAGCTTTTTTCGTCAGGGCTGACCGTCGCCAGCCAGTCAGGCAATAGAACCGTGTCGACGGACTAAACCTTCCATTCTTGCCAAAAACAGATCCAACAAGAGAAGAGGGCTTGTCGCGGCACATGACCCGGTGGCCGTACCTGTAATGTACATACGGGCCGTGCAAAAAAGAATGTGCTAATGTCAAGGAGATATTGCGTAGATCTGATCTGCTATTGGTGAGCCGGCACTTGACAAGGTTGGTGGAGAATAAAAAGCAGCTGAAGTGGGGAGACTAAGGCGTAGCACAGGTAAGATGGCTAGGATGGCTAGGATGGGCTCTCAAAGGGATCTGTGCACCCAAGGCAACCCCAGATAGGAAGTTCAGTGCACGTCAAGGAACGTGCACGTGCGGGAGGCTCGATTCCCGTCAATCAGTGGGTGGGCAGCCCCCCTCCCCTGCCAAGCTGCTCACAGTCTCACAGGAGATGGAGGCATTCGAGGTTAAAACAACAGGGCTTCTTCTCCGCTGCAGGAGAAGTCTTAGCTAAGGCAGGTCTTGGATTTTTTTCTTTCTTAGGTCTTCAACTCGGAGCTTCTTGGCAACTAATCCCAAATCAACGACACTCATCTCCTCTCCCAAGCCATTGCTCTCTCTGATGCTTCCTAGCTTCGTGTCTATTGGCACTAATATTTCCGCAGACTTCGCCCCGACGCCCGTCCATTTAGCGCCGGGAGTATCCTCAGATCGACGTGAAGCCTCTGTCGGGAAGATCTTGAACTCTTTAGCCATCCCGAACTCATCATGTCCTGGACACGGCATCACTTCTTCTATGTATCTGGAAGCAGACGTACATACTCACCAATATCCTTGTGGCCCGTGTCTGCGTAAGCTTGCGCCGAGTCAACTCCCTTCCTTCCAGCACTGCTGAAAAGGAGTGGTCCTCTTGCAACACCGAGACACCATTGGCATGGAACCTACCAAAACATCAGCTAGGTGGCGTCTATAAACACCACTGCATGTCTTTAGTTGCAGACGCATTCTCAGGTTGATGTTTTGTGAAGGGTCAGGCTCGTATTGGTCTGTGGTGTTCTCAGACCTCGTTGCCAACTTGAAGGAGGGGGCACTGCTGGGTACAGGGGCTTTACAATCAATTTGCGACAGGCTCTTCTCGCTCATGGAAACTTGGTGGCCTGAAATCCTTATATGTGCCAGGGTTTTTGGAGCTGCTGGGTTTGATGCCAGAGTAGCCGTACCTACACAGTTCATCGTGCTCGCTCACCTGGCGACATGCACGAAAATTTTGAACGTCAAGAGATCGGCAAATGGATACTTGCAGCGCTTACGGCGATGGACATTCGCCAAGCGAGGTTTCTTGTGACAGATAATCTCGCGTGTGTGCGAATCTGCAGAGCTGTCAGAGCACAGAGGGAAGCGCACAGACATACGACATCAACCTCTCTGAGTAAGGAGGGTATTATACCCGAGTTGAGAACTGACCTGGCTCACATAACGCACACTGAGTGGTTTTGCGTTCTGGCTGAACCTTGTTTTCCGACCCCTTTGCCGCATTGGGACTACCTTGCGGACTGATCAACAACTTTGCTTACCCACTACTTGGTCGATGCCAGGTTCAGCTGGGATGTTAATGGGTTTGTGTTTTAATTTTCTGGACTTTTGCAGTTGGAGCGCAAAGGCCCCTAGGACACACCCAGTCCAGCC